CACAACCAATACATACAACTTTGAACGTATGTCGAGCTCGAGATAGGCCAGTGGTCAAAGTGCCAAACTACTGGCCGCAAGGTCCTCTGTTTGAATCCAACCGCGGCATCTCCACTGCTACTCTCTAGGTTTGGGCAACTTCGCAGTGTCTCATCTCTTGTACTTTCTTCTGGTGACATGGCAGCTAGGCACTTAAAGAGTGCCACTGCTGAACGACTGTTTTCTACAATGATATTATTATATGTTATAAAATTATATGTGTATTATATATTACGTATACACTTAATGTTATATATTAAATATTTTCTACATGTATCATAGGATTATATTATTAGTTTTACTGTCGGAGAACCATTCAGAGCTTAATAGTTCAGTAGCACGGTGGAGGTGACCCATCAACATGCCAACCTTCCATCGAAGTCCTATTCAAGCGGATCATCTATGCTATTTTCAATGGTCTCAGTGGATGAGGGAGATTCATAGAGAGATCTTACTATTGTATGCAAGAAAACTATACAGACTTCTAGGATGGACATTACAAGATTCTAATGGATGGTTCCGATATTAGAAGGAAAGGCCTGGCCTGAACACCTGTAAAGAGAATGTGTCCGTTATCGACGCCGAATTTGGTATTTATATACGTGAAACACGCATAGGCATGCTACAGCAAAATGTTCCCGTAGTACCAAACAAATTCGACAAAGCGATGTGTTTAATGTCAGTGAAACCGCGCTATGTTGTTGTACAACATTTTAGAAAGAAAGCATGGGACAGACATTGGGAACAGTGTCAAAGGTTGAGGGTGAATGGATAAAACCTTTATTAACGGGGTTAGAGCACGAATTTACTGACCGGAAGGTCCGTGGTTCGAACCCGTCCTCTGTCTCTCGAATTACCCTGTCTAGGATCGGGCAACCTGGCAGTATCCCAGCCCTCACGCAACCGAATATGCAAGTTCGAATTCTCCAGACATCTCGAGGGCTGTAGTTGCACACAGAAGTATTCGCAAAGTGCCTAAGTGACATGTTCTTCGTCCCGCAGTTTGTTAAGAGATGCACATTAGAAAAGGCCAAGGCGCTCATATCTGTTGGCGATCCTCCACTGTACCGGGTGTACGAATGGTGCAGGACGGTTGTGGGATGTTCTTTTTCCGGCCAATGAATCGGGATAGAGTTTCAACAAAATTTCTTGGTCGACCAAATAAAAACCGAGGTTGACATTGATTTGTTGTGCTGCCGATGTGTGCTACAAGGAATACAGTTAACCCGAAAAGTCTGGAACTTAGTTCATTCCGGCCAACTGGTGAATGCCCTCGGAAAAGTGCGATTCAGGTCACGTGAGGTGCTGACAGAATGGATAACTGAACTAAGTTATGTTTTCAGGACCTGTTTGCCAGTTGAAACCAACGAAGCAGTCGAAAATCTATTACTTTTTGTAAAGAAAATATTGTTGGACATTTGGTTTGCCCACTACCTTTGTCATATTAACGGACGCGCAGAAATCCTAAAGATGTTATTAGGCAGTGCTTATTCACCCAATTATTATCGTCCGTAGCAAGCCCCAGTCCAACTCGAAACGAACTTTGACCTGGAATTTCGGAGCGTACACCAAATATTGGGTATAATGTAGACAACCACACTCGAGGAAGTATGGTACGCAGCAATGTGGCCAATTCAACCAAGCATCTGAAGTGCCTAGTGCGTTTATTTGCAGCCTACAGCAGTGCACAAGACTGGGAAAGTGTAGTAGCTTCCTTATAACTCACCACTGTGGGAATCATTCGGATCATAAGTTCAACCAAATTGTCTCACTATCGGGTGGACAGTGAATGCCATGCTCGCGCCAGTCAGAATACACAAAACTGTTGCTCGGCATTACTCAGAATAATGAGATGCGCCATGTCTGTGTAACAGCAGTCTATCTACATCAACGAGACATCAGTTTTTAAGCACTAATGTTGTGCTGTGGATGATGATGATGTTGTTGTTGATGATGATGATGATGATGATGATGACTGTAGCGTGTTTGCTTCAACCAGTGCGACCGCAGATGACAAGCTCACTTATTTGGCAGGATGACTGATTAGGAGGGAATAACTGTGGTGAGTATAAATATCCTATCAACGAATACGTCAGTAAAAATGCTCTCGAGTTTGTTCGTAAGATTACCGTGAACAAGCCATATATGATGATGGATACGCTTATCATGTTTCGATATTCGGATGCCGGTTTCTGAAAACTATCAGGTTTGAGGAGTACGAAAAAACATGAGCAAGTGAGACAACGCAAAACTGATTGCGCATTCAGTCTAGTAGGTTCAACCCAGAGACCACAGGGTTAGTTAGTCGCTGTAGTAACAATGTTAGTGCTGAGATACGAAGCAATAGATTTGCCTGCCGCATCAGGCCGCCATTTTTTGCAAAATCTTTTATGAGACGACACGAATGCACTTTAGCCTGCCTAAACCCGAAGGCATGGGGCCAGAAGCCAAATTGAGCACAGTTTTGAAACCAAAAACATGCAACGCCCGTAGACCGTGGTCGTCAAAGAAAACACAACCGCTTAGAACACACCGTATGCCCACCACTCGTGAGTCGCAGCAAAGGCAAACTCACGCGGCGACTCAGGGTGAAATATGACGCAGCGTTGAGAGTTACATTGGACAATTACGTTAGGCAGTCTATTCGTAGCTGGTTACGTCTACCGAAGGACACCCTGATCAGGTACATCCAGTCCGGTAAACAACTTGGGGGACTTGGTATCCCAAGTCGGAGTTCAAACATCCCGATGCAGCGGGCAGCGCGTATAGAAGAGCTTCTTCCTACCCATTGCTGAGCACTACGCAACGTGGTCAACGATTCCGCATTTGGCAAGATTGTTCGGGATCTCAGCCTTCCGATCCGAATCCATGGTGCATGTGCAAACCTCACGGAAGGGCTGGTGGCTGCTTGAGGTGATGATCTGCACAGCAGCGTTGGCAGTCGCGGTGTTGGTTGCCTTCCGATCCGAATCCATGGTGCATGCGCAAACCTCACGGAAGGGCTGGTAGCTGCTTGAGGTGATGATCTGCACAGCGGCGTTGGCGGTCGCGGTGTACGAGTGTTGGTCGCTTCGCCTCTGTCGTATCGATGGCTTGTGTTTCCGGAACGGGCGTCGCGGAACCTGGCCAAACGGAGAGTTTGATGCATATTCTGCAGTGCTGCTGGATCACGGATGATGCTAGATGTGCTCGTCATAATCCGGTTGCAGGAGAACTCTTGAAACGTCTCCGAGTAATTGTGGTGGACGTAAGCATAGTCTCGAATAGGCGCTTAGTGACTGTGGAATGAGGAGCAGAATAATGCTGCTGATGCTTGTTCCCTCACCATCATCTCAGCCCGACGTGCAGTCGATTGTGATATCGAACTTTCAGTCCACCAACCGATGATCATTTCTTATTGGTGGATATGCTTTCCTCATCCTGAGTAGACTGTTATTGGACTGGACTTCCTAAGGGCACAGTCAATAACCTGCTTGCTTGCCGTTTTGGGCTCTCTGCGTAGTTACGACACACCGGACCCAGTATGATCGACACTTTGTGCCTGATGTGCGAGTCTTGACTTTTCTAGTGCTTAGAGCGCCTTCAAGAGCATTTGGCATGGATGAGATACACTCACTTGCATACCACTTTAGTTCTGACGGGAAACTCACCTGTAACCCAGCTGAATCTCTCATTTATGATGTTACCAAAATCATAGACGTGCAATTTAGGTTCAAGTGCAACATAAGGTTGACGGAAACTCGAGGACTGCACACCTACCTGATAAACCCGAAACCAGTCGTGGGCTGTCAAAACGTTTTCAGCGGCCTTGTAAGCAGTGCACCAAGTTTAAGCACTTATCATTGTTTGTCCTTTCTCCGGTTGCTGGGCTTTGCAAGCATGTTTCCCTGCCAAATATTCTCAAATGTGTTGAGATTCATCATGTCTGACTGGAACTGTTAGTGGCACAACTACGAATGGGACTCTTTCTGTTTTACCTAATATCCTTCTGTGACCCTTCCACATCTATCGGTTGGATTTACTTTTCATGTTTGTGACCCTGCTCATCAAAAATAAACGGTAGTTCAATTATTTCAGTCAAAGAACATCTCTTTTGGCAACAACACCAGAAAGTTCAGTGCTGGGTGATTGTAAGGCGTTACACACTATGTGTATGATACTATTTCATGTCAGGTTTCCCTGATGTTTAGTTTCACACTACCAGTTTTTACATTTTTGGAATCCTGGCCCTTTTGTAACTTAATTGTAGATGGCATTGACACTATTGATCACAAAGTTATATGAGCCCGTTCGAAGACCTTCAGGCACAAAGCGATTGCCAAATTACTAAGCGGGAAAAAAGAGTATCCACACCCTGTTGTAAAACAATGCGAAATTTAGGGACTGCAAGACCTACGTTCAGAGTCCAGCTATCCAATGTCTATAGGCGCGACATGCAAACGCTAAAACATAACAGTAATCTCTGTGGGGTGTCCTGCGAGAAAAGCATGCATCTGTACACCATAGCATGTTCAGGTAAGATTTCTTCAGAAAATTGTACAGCCGGGTCCGCTAAACTAAAGTTTGACTACTTTCTAGACTTTCGGCTAATGACAGGTCTCTATGTACACTGAATTAGCCAACCAATGTGGCTGTGATGTTACACCGTTCTGATATAGCCTGAACTATTCTCGTTCATCTATATTCACAAAATTTTTGTCACTTGTTTTTTTATCGCGTGTGTTGGCTTATATTTCGGAACACTACGATTGCAGTGGCAACGGTGAATACAAGAACTTCTTTTACATTTTGCCTGCCATTTAAGCAGGCTGCTAACATTTTGAATTGGATAGTGTTTTTAAGAGGTTGTGAAATGACAAATTCGGCCATTGCAGTGGCAACGGTGAATACAAGAACTTTTTTACATTTTGTCTGCCATTTAAGCAGGCTGCTAACCTTTTGAATTGGACAGTGTTTTTAAGGGGTTGCGAAATGACAAATTCGGCCTATGTGAAGATGGCCTGCACTGGATTTCTCTCTCTTTGCAGTTCCTCATGGGTCTGCTTCGCCTAGGTTTTCTGATGGTCTACATTTCTTCGCCGCTTTTGGGTGGATTCACTTGTGCTTCGGCTCTTCATGTGATTGCAAGCCAGTTAAATGCCTTGTTTGGAGTAAAGATGAAGCGCACGGTTGGCCCGGGTATTCTACCTTTGGTAAGTTTTCCGTCGTTGTGACCCTCGATCGGTGTTTCTAATACGAACGAATATCCATTGTAGTTTGAACCTTTTCGGTAATTAACTGGAGTTAGTCTCGCTTCTATCTTTTGTTTCGTTCCCATAGTCCTGGAGATTCGTTGTGGACCGCGTCTAGTAAGATGGCCGTAATACGTATTGTTTAAAGAAACGTGTAATTTTGTGATCGTGGAAACAAGGATTTGATTTCGACTGGCTAGGAAACATTTTTCTACCAGCTCATCCGTTGTAATGACTGGGAAGGACGCTCCGTTCTTCCCCTATAGGCGTATTCTACTAGGTCGCGAGTGTTTCTGTCAACGAGATACCCATTGATTGGTTAATCAATACAAGAATGAGAGCCACCCCATCAGGTTACCACTTACCAGAGGTGAGAATCTAAATACATGAGAGGACGGAGGTGTTTGTTTTTTTCTGAGTTTCATTTCACGGACTGTAATTTAGTATCACCAGTCCTACATGTAATTCGCGCCTTTCCTCTTTACTATGACAAACAGAATTCTATTTTCTCTCACATTGTTGCCTGACTCGGATTACGGTAGGAAACTGGGAGATTTCACGTCCTGTTACTCCCGTCTGAACAGACTTGTCCTGGCGGAGTTATTCTGGTCAGCCTACCTGAAAGAAGGGTGGCACTGGATTCGAGTTTCTCTCTTATTGGAGCCCATAAACAGCTCCTATGGCACTTTGGTAATGCTGACAGTTTTAGCCAGTGTCACGGTTAGCATTACAGATGCCTAGACCTAACTAATGCCTGTTGTCAATATATTTCAAGAAGTTATAGCTGCTTCAATGGGTACGGATTGCACTCTCTAATGGAGAGTGCTGACGCTGTTTTGGTACGATATAAGTTTCTCGGTCTTTACTCCATTCATAATAGTTAGTGTGGGATAGAATGAGAAAAAGAAAATTCGGTGCCGTTCCACACAGGATGAGAATAGCTTTTGGTCGATAGTCTGAAGACTATTCTTGGTATTCGCCACTGGGTCATGATACTAAAATTAAAACCTGCGTCTGTTCCATTTATTTCTACGCACAAAAAATTTCAGTGAATTTGTGGTCAGATGCTAAAAAAACTCAACCAGACAGTCGCTTTCCTCTCTTTAGGAACTCCTCAAGTGACCGTCATCATCATCCGCAGAATACCATTAGTCTTTAACGCTGTTGCTTCGCCGCCGTATAACCAGGATTTATTTGAACGCCCTTTTGTGAAGAAAATAAAATTAGATGGAGAACGGATATCGTCCTAGCTCATTATAATCACTACGAGGTACCTACTACTCCTGAAACTCATTCAGGCAATCTGGATAGAAACTGGCAACAAGATTGCCACTCACATCGATTGACAGTCATCTCTTGCAGTGTCTCATACGTCCTGGAGTCTGAGAATACATAGAACTTACTGTGCTCAAGAACTTCCATGCCATCCTTTGACGACCGAGAGTTAATGAGAACAGACCTGTCAACTGAGTCCAATACGCCTCAGAACTTCAGGATTACTAATATTGTGGATCGTCCGTGCGCATGACATTGCTCTTGCATCTGACGAGGTGTGTGGATTTGATCAACGCAACCTACATCTAACTGGAATCCCGTTTGGTGCTCTCGAGTCAATCTTTCACGAGTCACCAAAACCTGACGAAACACAAGCGACGCCAAGATTCACGTTACCACCGGGGTCAGACTGATCCCCCTGTAGTTACCATTCCCTACGAACCCCTTTTTGGAAAAAGGACGCTAGTATCGATTCTCTCCACTTGTCGAGGACAGCCCTCTTTTCCGGAATGCACGAGAACAGGTCAAACAAGCGCTGACTGGGGAATTCAGCCTCATCTTTGAATAATGCGTGGGGAATTCAGCCTCATCTTTGAATAATGCCTGTGGGAGGTCATCCGGATCAGAAGCCCGGTGGCACTGGAGAGAACATATGCAGTCATAAGCCTCCGAGGCTGCAGGGTGTTCCACATTTACTGTCCAGGTTTCTACGCCATTGATAAGCTTTAGATGAGTGACAGCTGGCGGCCACGATAATTGGTGTTCGAAGTGTACGGCCCAACCATCGAGGCGTTCTTTTTCATTAAAGAACTGTTTCTCAGAATAGGCTGCTTTTTCTCAATCAAGTGGTATTAAACTATGTATCTACCAGATTGCATCATTTAGGTCTCAAGCTATTTGAGTGTTTTTTGCTTTCAGGTTTCCAGTCGGACAAGAAAACACGACTTGTTTAGGACGTTATGCCTCCTTTTTCTCATTTCTCTTTCAGGATTTTTACAATTTTATTCTAGTCTTCAAGGAGACAAATGTGGCAACCATCACCATATCCGTTATCTGCATTACGGTTTTGGCAATTTTCAAATTTCTGATCAATCCGAAAATTGAGGCCAAGATTCATTTTCCTTTTCCGGTTGAAGTGGTTGTGGTAAGCGGTGTATATACTTGTTCGTAATGTTGTATACGTGTCTTTCGTGTGCCTTGTCCATCTTCATTATTCTCGCTCGAAGTTGTCTGCCGTTCTGTCCAGGTAGGTGGCGAACGGAGATAGTGATGCCCCGACCGGCGGGATTGGAATCCGGTTGTAGGTGCGGACTGAATGACATTTTGCTCGATGTTCCACTTCATTTTTCAATGGTTGACCTAAAAATCCATCCGGCGCCCGAGCATTATGTGCTCATATTATTGGAAATATCTTGACTGTCTGAAAACTGCCGTAAAATGTCAGACTTTTAAGCTGTAGACCTGTTAGCTTTTTGTTTATTTCATCTAATCTGTAGCACATGCTTAACGCGATGCAGCGACGTTACACTGTTGTGTAACAGAGCAATAGTCCGGCTCCCTTCAAGCTGTTTCTCAGTGAGTCGTCTCGGCATTGTTTCGAGGGAACTACAGGTACAAATCAAATGGCCAAGTAAGGCAGGACGGAGGTCGCAACTGGTCACATCTGATCGCATCTGATCCAATAAAGAAACACCCCAAATCGATTAAGACCTGTTTGGGCTTTAGGTTCGTCCGTACTGTGCTGCGAGGACTCTTACGGGACCCATTGGTCGTTCACTCGGAAGAGTTGGGCAGACAGAAAATCACCTCTTTTGGGATCATGGGAGAAAGAAGATCATTCAGGGGTAAAAAAATCTATGGTCTCAATAATCTTTATCGTTGATGAACAGTAGGATCAGAAATAATTCTCAGAAGCTAAGCTACAACGGAGTTTGTATATGGGTTTGGATGCCACTTGAGTTGATGTTAAAAAAAAACGCATACCGATGGAGAGTGTTTAACCATTTCCACATCAAGAGAGTCGCGAGGAACCTCCCAATTCTCGACGAGGATGAATTTTGACGAAAATATTTCAGTGTGCAATACCGGAATCTGTAGTTACTAAACCAGTTATGCGTTATTTCGAAAATCAGTATGTCATAAAAATAAGATGGTGAAAGACAGTGAAAGCAATCTGTTTAATATTGTGGCTGAATTCACATCAGCATCCTTGGATGCATGGAATAGCTTGGAAGCGAATTAACCTTGAAATTTAACCAAAAACAAACCAAAAATGTCTTCATTCAACAGCAAGGAATTGTGAAAACCGTGTGCTTAGAAATATGTTTATTTTTGTTTTTGGTCTTAAGTGATCCATATAGTGTATTTCTATATTTTCAAAATACGACCTGAAGTTTTATGGTGTCTGTGACTATACGGTTGTCCGTGAGCAACTGTTCGGTAAAAGAATGCGTTCAGTGCGGAGATAACTGTCAATCGATTTGAGTGGCATTCTTGTTGTCAGTTTCTATCCAGATTGCCTGAATGAGTTTCAGGAGTGGTGGGTACCTCGTAATGATTGTAATAAGCCAGGACTGTATCCAATTTTATTATTTTCTTCACAAAAGGGCTTTCAACTAAATCTTGATTGTATGGGATAGAGGCATCTGATTTGATCATGGATGTTTAGATGATGGTTTCGTTCTGTAAGCGAAACCATTCTATGCTGAAATGCCGAAGGCACTGTTCGGCTGTTTCGTCGTTGTTGTGAATCATTAGCAGTGCGCATCTCGCGAAACTCGAATAGCCGGCCAGCACGTGTGATTGCCTGATGCGGATTTCGTATTTAAAGGATGAGTGGCGCTATATTCTTTCGCAATGCGAGCTAATCGGGCTACTGATCAGCCGCTCGTAGCCGAACGGTTAAATGTTCAAACTGCTAGCCAGGAGGTCGCGGGTTCGAGGCTTCCCGAAGTTTTGTAAGATGCGCACTGCTGATGATTCCCA